GATATATATTTTGCTAAAGGGAGAGGCAGTTTGTTTAAAATTGTGAAATAGAGCCAACAGAGAATACAGAAAAATCCCCTCTCACCTCGCATTATTCGGATTCTTATACCGACAGCTTGCAGCCAACTCCACAGCTCCATTTTTAATTGGCATCAAGAATTAACAAAACAAAAACAATTGAAACCACAAATCTCTAGACAATAATTCCGACCAAAAACTATTTTTATAGAAATATATAGATAACGATCTCTGTGGTCCTCTGGCCCTCTTCCACGTTTAATTTAAATCGATCTGGAGGAACACAAGTGGGTCAGGTGGGGAATAAAATTTAAATACCCTAATTTTTTTTCATCTAAAAGAACCCTGAATCCGATCTTCAAAAGTTATTAGTTTTGCTCTACAACCTGAACCTTTTAATTTCACTGTAACTATAATTTTTCGATATCTAACAATTCACTGTAATTTTATATAAGGTTATAGGTTTTGTATTTTGTAAATATAGACCTAATAGAGTGTACTGCATGTGTATTACTTAGCCATCAAAAATAAGAAAAACTAATGAAAAAAACTTGAAAATTTTGAGTTTTAACGATAAAAGATAAAATAAATGATAAAGTGAATAGTACCAGAATTGACTTTTTAGTGTAAAAATATGATTTTTTGTTAAAATAAACAGTACCAATAGCTTTTCTTTAAAATTCCCTAAAAAATAACTTAAATATTTTCTCTTTTCTAGAGACAACCCCATGTGTTGCTGGCTACTCCCAAAGAAGGGAGGGTTGTCTTCGATGAGATGTTTTGCCATGGGTAGTAAGCAAATACACATATTAATTGTCTACCTTTTTGGTTCAGAAGAATGGGAATTAGCAAATAACATACATCTTAATGTTTGGATTAATTTGTTTAATTGGAAAGAAAAGTAAACAACTATTTAATTCATGTTTTGTGGTTACTGTGTTTTTTCACAGTTGTAAAACATTCGTGGAAACCTACATGCTTGGTGACTTGTCAAAACTTAATTAGTTATTAGTTTGTGATTATAGGGTATAGGTTGGATATCATATTCGAGGCGTCAATGTTTACTGTTGCTCCAAGGCAGATTTTTTATTTTGTTTCTTTATACAACAACATGGATATATAATATCAAAATAATGGTACATCCATCGATAACGTCTATGCATAGATGATTATGTTAATCTTTTTTGTTGATAAGATGTTGATATGGTACCATAAGCGTGGGTTTGTTTTTCTATTTTTTTTTTTTTAAATACAAACGATATTCTTATTCTAAATTAAAACTAAGCAGAGGAAGAAGAGTTTAATCAGGATGTACTAGATTAAGACACAAGATTCTAACTATTTAGACAATCCATCACTTGCTCCATATACGTGCTTTCAGTAATAAAATCTACGTATATTAAATTATTATTATAGAGTTCCATAATTTTAATAAATATTTTCTCAACTAATTTAATAACATAACATATCAGATATGTGAAGGAATAATGTGTAAAGGTTAAGGATGTTATGAGACATATACATATATATATGTATGTGATAACCTCGTCCTCTTCGTCATCTACCTGAGTTCCATCCTCCCCTTAAAATAGTTCCTGTTTCTCCCTCCGGAAATTTAGGGTTTTGATCGGTAGAACTAACACATTGGGTTTTGCGTATTTGTTTATCTATATACGTGTGCATTCAGTATTTGAAAGAGATCGAGAAAATTAAACATTGGATACCGAATGGGGATGAGATAGCATCAAATGTCTGGAAGGAAGCTCCGAATGCATGGAGCCAAAAGCAGTTGTGTATTTTATTTATTTCTTATTTTTATGATTTCCTATAACTATATTCTCCTTTAGTTTCATGTGCATATTAGTTTAATTAATCAAGACGAAACCGTGGGTCCGCTCAAAGTCAGCTCAGATAAGGACGTCAACATAAACAAGTTCAAGAAATTCTAGCTCCTCTGACACAGTCAGGATGTAAATACATGTTTTATGATGTTCCAAACTACTATTTTGGTTATGCAGAATTTTTCTCAAGATCCAGATCGGTTTATGAACTATATAAGCAAGAAACTTTTGGTTCTCAAAAACTATATTTAACTGAACTACTGCATATATATATATATATATATATATCTTAGGTGATAGGTGACAATTGAAAAAGGCATACCGTAAAGCATGGATCTAGAGTAGTATATCCAAAGCTTTGTAGCTGCTGGAATGTATGTATAGGGTGGCATGGTCACCAAGTCTATAATCTCACTGCAAGCAGAAGTCAACTTTGCCAACTAATTAGGCTGTAACTTGGGCGGCTTAATGGAAACTTGAGCGTCTAATGGTAGGCCTAGCTATCTCAACATTCGTGATATTACTAATATGGTCTTAGAGGGTTGCATGCAATCTAATCCACTCCTTAATTATACAGAATAGAGCTCTGATTGAGAAGTCAATATTTACTCATGACAACTCAAGTGTTAACCAGTTAGTAACGTTAACTATTTATCTAGACATACTCTTCTAAGTAATTTCATGACCTGAGCCGTTCAATTTTTAGGTTATCATTCATGGATTATCTTGTAAAATTTTATCAATTAGAAATCGTTTAATCCTTTTTATTTGTTATGGCGAGCATTTCATATTGACAACATTGTTTGTCTATCATGCCATAGTTAGAAAACTAAACAACTTTCGATTTTAGTGAATTTTGTAGAGATGATCTTTTAGTGATAACTTAAAAAATGATCGGTTCAAATTATGAGAATTTAATGAAGTCAACTCAAACGAGTGGTTAACATTATTTTAGGCTACTAACTAGTTAGCCCTTGAGTGCTCTAAATATAAACTTGAACGATTGGATAATTAAAAAGGTGTATAAGATTGGACTAAAGTTGTCTATACTTCGTACAAATACTAAGATTCAATTGCGTTAATCAAAACCTCAAGGACTTAATCAAATTGACCATGACTACATCGTCATATATATCTCACCCTACTATGCTGTTCCGATCCGATCTTGTGTTCGAACTTTTTATTTTTTCAGTCATGCCTCTTTAAAGATTATTATTTATTTAACATTTTGAAACTGCATTAATGCAGAAGTCGACCGTAACTCGCGCGTCTGGTGTGTTCAAGTCAAAACCAATTGTAATTCATCATTGATCCTCTTCCCGACCTCTATACATAATAGCTTAAGGATTAGATTATATACCAAGCATGTGAGGAAACTAATTTATGTAAGGAAAGTAATTTAGTGAGTTCATTACTAATTGATGTGTCTATAATCAATTAAATATTAATAAAAGATTTTAACTCTAAAAGTAGACAAATATTTCATGCAGTTAATCGCGGCCAAAATAGATTATAGTGAGTTATAACTTATAATCATAAGATATTGAGAGAAGGTTTTAGAGAAGTACTATTAATCTAGGCGTGCGTGGGATGATCCCGACATTTTCCAAGATTTTAATTCATCTAAATATATGTGTTGGAACCCCCAGTCCCACATCGGACAGAGGGAGAAGAGAAGAGTGCTTTAAATAGAAATACCCCTCTCTAACTAACATCGAGGCCTTTTGTGATAAAACCCCACACCTGAGGATTGTGCAGGTGGTTAAGTGGGGACAGTATCGGTGTTGTTGGAGTGGACCCTCGGCCCGTCGACCTGAAAATTTCTACATGGTATCAGAGCCAGGAGGCGGGCCCGTACTGCCACGTGATTAGGTGGGTCCTCGTTGGCCCCGCGTGATTGTCCACGTAGGCCAAAGATGTCACGTGTTTGGGTGGGTCCCCATTGGCCCCACGTGATTGGGTGAGTCCCGACATGGCTCCACGTGGTTGCCGATGTGTGGAAATTCACGTGTGACCCATAAGTGGGGTCTCACGTGCGGGGGAGTGTTGGAACCCCCAGTCCCACATCGGACAGAGGGAGAAGAGAAGAGTGCTTTAAATAGAAATACCCCTCTCTAACTAACATCGAGGCCTTTTGTGATAAAACCCCACACCTGAGGATTGTGCAGGTGGTTAAGTGGGGACAGTATCGATGTTGTTGGAGTGGGCCCTCGGCCCGTCGACCTGAAAATTTCTACAATATGGCCTGCACTCTCCAGTAGTGACCTGGTACTATACCTAAAAATACAGTAAGTCTGGAAGATGATCAGTAATATCAGCATGACAGCTTATACGATCGTATATGTGTAAGAAATATCACGATCCCGATCATGATCATTATCATGAGGATGATGGATGGTGCAGCATGCATGCATCACAGTCCCAGCATTCTGGGTCCCCTCTTTTTCCCACAGAGAAAACTCATCGAGAGAGACACAGAGATATCACGGACGGTCCTTTCAAATGCCTCGGGAACCCCAAAATTATTCACGCACACATTTTCACACTCATGTCTGCTATATATCTGCTTAATTATTAATTTATTTGAGTCCAACTTTAATTATGGCAATAATCATTTTAAAGCTGATCAAATTCGAAAGTCTGGTAAAAGGCAAGCAACTTTCTGAGAATTACCTTATTTATCCTTTTTTTGGGTCAATAAATTACCTTTTTTTATTCGATCTCTAGCTTCAAAATCATTTTCAATTAGAGTAACCCTTTAACTAATTATGTATTTGTAAACATAATTGGGGTTTGAGCTCAGAAAAGCAGAAAACAACACACTACCCTACACATTCTGCTTTCACTTGCACCCCCTAGCTAAAGCTAGTTCATGACTCTGCCTCTCACACACTTCCACTTTTGTGTACGTGTGTGTAAGGAAAACTTAGGTAGAGCGAGTTTACTTAGCAAAATAAAGTTTTTCTTTTTACAATAATATGTTATTTAAATATTAATTGACGTACTTATTTTTATTAAAAATATATTATTTAGTTTAAAATTTTTATTTATCTAGCAAGAGAGAGAGAGAGAGAGAGAGGGTGGGGGGGGGGGGGGGGGGGGAGGGAGGGAGGGAGAGGGTGGTGGCCCATCAAAATATATGGCTGACGGACTTTGAGGATAAAGGAGACTTATACGCGTAAGACTATGACTGCATAGAAGAAAAATAGAGAAAGAGAGACAGAGCTTAGCCAGGAAAATATAAAAGATGATATATTCTCTTTTAGGCATCATGGTGTTTGGTTTTTTCTTTTAGGAAATCAAACGGACAGAGGCAAAAACCAGATCATCATCAACCTCTAGCGTCCTATATTTTTGTGAGGGTTTTTGTAATTTACAGTGCTACTAAAAAAACAACCTGACTTGGGTTTTGGCAGAATCGATTGGAGTGTGTCTAAACACAAAATACTTGTTTTTTTTGTTCTTCTTTTAGCCTCCTTAATTAGAGCCTTTCCAAAACTAGTCTATTTTTGATCTTTTGTGAACGACTAAGCTACAAAAAGAGATATGCAAATGATGTCCGGTGATGGGTTTTCGATTAATATGTCATCCGCCATTGACGGGTTTGCTCAAGATCATCAACTAAACGATAACCCTAGCGGTGGCCTAAAACCCAATCCTCCTAACGCCGTCGCCAAAAAGAAGAGAAATCTCCCGGGAACACCAGGCAAGCAAGTTACCTCCATTTCATTTTTCCCAACTTATCCTTTTCATTCTCCGGGCGGCCGCAGAAGCCATACAATCATATATTCAATTCACTAGTACTAATCTTGGTGGGTTTGTTCTCAATTTATTGTTTCATACTTTGTCTCAACAGATCCAGATGCTGAGGTTATTGCCCTATCTCCGACAACATTAATGGCAACAAACCGGTTCGTCTGCGAAATATGCAACAAGGGTTTCCAGAGAGACCAGAATTTGCAGCTTCACCGAAGGGGTCACAACCTTCCCTGGAAGCTCAAGCAGCGACTGAACAAGGAGGTGAAGAAGAAGGTTTATATTTGCCCCGAGAAGACCTGCGTCCACCATGACCCGTCGAGAGCTCTTGGAGACCTCACCGGAATAAAGAAGCATTTCAGCAGAAAACATGGAGAGAAAAAGTGGAAGTGTGAGAAGTGTTCTAAGAAATATGCTGTCCAATCGGATTGGAAAGCTCACTCCAAGACCTGTGGGACTAGAGAGTATAAGTGTGACTGTGGAACCCTCTTTTCCAGGTAACATATCTTCATAATACCCAAGTTTTTTCTTTTTTTGAGTAATTTAAATGTTTGAATTTAAATGTTTGCTTATGTTGTAGATGAATTGAATGCTCATCAATGGGTATAGGGTTTGAAGTTAATGCAACAATATTATATGATTGGGCAATAAATGTGGTTTCATTTTATTTTATTTTATTTTTATTTTATTTTTTTTTACTTGAAATTTCCCTTAATTTAAACAGGAAAGATAGCTTCATCACGCACAGAGCATTTTGTGATGCCCTAACTGAAGAGAGTGCTAGGCTCACTACTTCATCAGTTATTGGAGTTCATTCAAATCTCAACTTTGGAAATGATGCAATGTTAAACAATCCAATGATGAACAATAGTCAAGCAGTAGTTCAAGATGTGTCTCAAATTTCCATGCAGTATGGGCAAGGTTTGATGAGGCAAGATTTCAATGGCTTAGATCAGCTTCATCAACATGAGAAGCCAAGATTGTCACTATGGTTGAATCAGCAGGCAACCAGTAATTCTAATCAGGTTAATCTGATGGATGATATGCAAGCAAATCCTAATCATCCGCTTTATGTAACATCATCAAGCTCTAATGCTTTTCCGGAAATGGTGCAAATGCCATCGTCTTCCAACAATGTCAATCTTTTTGGCTCATCTAATTCCATGACAACTTTTAGAGCTTCAACAAGTGGTGCAAATCTCTCTTTGTCACCAGGTCAAGAAAGCGGGACTAGTAAGCTCATTGGGAAAAATAGTAATTTAGTGAGCAGCGGCACGTCCAAGCCACCGGCTGCCCCAATGTCAGCCACAGCACTTTTACAAAAAGCAGCTCAATTGGGTTCGACTAGAAGCAGCAACAACCAAGGCAGCAGCTTGGGTGTAAATGTAATGTCCTCATCATCTTCTTCCAACACTTTGAGGGGCTTCTCGAATTTGAACCAAAATCGATCGAACGAGCTTCATCAAGTTGTTCAAAATGCACATCAATCAGGTGGTGGTAGTGCAAATTTGAGTTCATTAACAAGTTCATCATCAAATACTAGTGCTACTACACTTGAGCAGCTGATGAATACTATTCAACGGGGTCCGAGCAATATCGGAAGTATTGATCATCAAAACAGTCTAACTAGGGACTTTTTGGGCATGGGAGGAGCAGGAGGAGGAGAACATATTGATCAGTTATCCCATACCAATAGGCAAATATTTTTTCCACAAGATCTAGCCAAGTTTGCATCTTCAATGAGCCAATTCACTCGCAACCACTAGAGTCCTAATCAGAAAACTCAGGGAAGGACTAAGATATGCACCATTACGGACACCACTATAGTTCCCTTGACTAATAATATAATGTTGTATGTAAGTCTTCATGCATATTTCATTGCAGTATTAGTTCGGAATACTGGCTAACGCCGTGTAGTAAGTCATTCTCGAAAACTCAATGTTCATGTTGACATATTCAAAGTCAGTCTGAATCAGGACACCGAGTTGATGAATTCAAACTCAGATGGGGACCGCATGCTTGCTGAAGGATCAATAAGGATGATGGGGGAGCTGGATCTCTGTGGCTCTGCCTCTGGATGCAGCAGGCAAATGTGGTCTCAACTAGCTAGAGAGAGATCATATTTAGTTTTTTTTCGGATGGGGCCCAGCATTGTATTTGCATGTCTGAAAGCGACAGAACGAAGAGCAAACTTCAAATTATATATATATTTGCATGTTTTCGTTGTTTCTGTTGTTTTATCCTGTGGGCGTTATTTTAACCCTTTTTAGGATAATTTCCTTCGCTTTTTATATTTTCTGTTTTGTTATTTTTTAACTCGAATTTATGCTGCTGGATCAGATGAATAGTAGCTTTGTGACTCCTTCTGAAGTCGAACAGAGTGCACAGAAAACTACGTAATCGTATGGTTTGACCTTTCGTCAAAGTTATCCGGCCGCCCGTCAACATTGGTGGGTTTACTTAAAAGTAAGAAGACTAATAATTATTGAAGATGATGCCTTTACAGTCCATGGCAATTTGTTTAAGACAACGTGTGCATGCAGCAGTAGTTTAGGGTTTGGTTATCATCTAGGGCACACGTAACAAGTGAACGTATAGCTATAGGAGTCGTTTAGAATAAAAACCTTACAGTTAATAATACAAGTGCATGGCGAATTTATACTTTATGGTAGAGTGTTACTAAAAAGAACTTGTGTGTAATACGAAGTATGTAGTACTAATATATTGACGTTTCAAATACACACAAAAACTTATCGTAATATAGGCTTTACGCGTCTATTGGTATTTTGTGTTTTATGATCATGCTGATTACTGATTATAATACACACACACACACACACACACACATATTACACAAGATTTGACACAAACTTTAGACCATTAGATTAGCTACACACATATTACACAAGATTTGACACAAGCTTTAGACCATTAGATTAGCTCACTTTTAATGGTTGGGATGTAATTTGACATGTCAATTGATTTGATTATTAATTTTATCAAACAAATACATATTGGACATAAAAATTTGAACTTTCCAATGATAATTTCTCTCTACCCTATATCATTAATTCTGTTGTAAGCCTAATTTATTGAATCATATAAAGGACAAAGAGAGAGGGGGCGCGGCAATAGTAGAGAGAAAGATAGATGTGTAATTGTGAGCTGTGTGTTGTATCACCCCATTGTGCATTTATTTATAGTAGTAAGGAAGGTTAAATTCTTATCCTAATAGGATTACAACTCTAATAGGATAATATCTAACACTAGAGAATAGTCCAAAATATCCCTATATACACTAGGATTTACATAATCACATTCCTAATCTAATAGGACTGCAACACTCCCCTTGAGTGTGTAAATACTTAAACAAATGGCGTATCAAGTCTTCAACGATGAAGTAAGTATAGTTGATGAAATTGTCGGCACAAAGAGCGAATGCGAGTCTCATATCAATGGAAGAATGCATAAAAGGTAAAACTCACAAAACCTCGCTATGGTAAAACCCAAGGTAGGAGAAAAACCCATAGACTAAGGAGAAAAGTGAGAAGTTGCATTAAGTCAAAACTATACGTCTTTTGCATGCAAGTAGAAGAGCTCACAAGGGTATGACCAGCCCAAGATGGGTGCCTTGTCAAAACCTAGTTAGGTAGCAAAAACCCTGTGGGAAAAATGCTCCTAATCGTAGGGAAAAAGAGTACATTAAGATCAAGCGAGTATACTTTTGGATACTCCCCATGAGTTTGACAGAACTTCCAAATGAGAACTACAAGCATTGCATATGAATAGTTAGGCATACCAATTCCTCGGACAAGCTTTTGGAAAGTTGACTTCGGCATTGATGTCGTGTAAAGGTCAACAAGGTTGTCTAGGATCGGCTTGCATGACTTCAATCTCCTGATGCTTTGCTAATATGGATTTAGACATAATACACCTTGGCGTTGACTTTGTTGATGTATCATGTCTTGGTCGGGTTGATACATGCGGTATAGTCTTCGTGGATCGTCGTTGGGACTCAACGATGGATGAAAACATCGCAGGTACTTCAAATATGCTCAACAAGAGCTCTCAACCATGTCTCACGTGTGGCGTAGTGAAGTGAGGATGAGCCTTTGAATGATTCAAAGATTTTGCAACTAAGGTCATATCGTGGACCTACAAGATTCTCAAACAGTAAAGACATAACCATATGGGGATTTGCCTTGTGCGGGTTTGATAAGTAACCATCATCAGCATAATAAACAAGGCAAGCATCATTCTAAGGATTAAGGGTCGGATCCGCTCGAGATGCGTTGGGATTAGTCTAAATCTGTAGTATATTTCAATGTAGCAGAAAATGTCTTTAATACCAAATTAGTGATTGCGTATAGGCGTAGTGCTGCATCTTTACCAATAGATCAATAGCGATGGCGATGTCCTATCTAACACAATTAGCTAAATACAATAAAGCGCAAAGTTGAACTTAGATATGGAATTTCAGATTCCATAACCTCTTCAAGGGTCTCATTTGCATATAGCGTATGGAAGATCATAGGTATACTCAAGGGTAACACCTTCGGGGTGTAGTTTGGCTGGTAAACCAACGTACCGTCAAAACAACGCTTGAACTTCAGTTCAAGGTATATAAACGAGTTTTCCCAAGATCCTTCATCTCAAATTCCATCTTCAGGTACAAGGCAGTTTTCTCAAGCTCTTCTCTTAGTGAGATTTATGTCACCAACATAAACTGCAACTCTAGCAATTCGGAATAAGACTTCATAGTTTAACATGCAATGGCATAATTCATATCCCTAACTGATTAAATAATTACTTAGACAGGTATACCATATCCATCGGCTTGCTTCAGTTTGTAAGTGAACGCCTCAAACAAGTTGAGAGGGCGTTCCGTGGTTTAAAACTATACCAGTCCATGTAATTTTTCAGGAACTTACATCTAATTCTTCGTATCAATATCCTCATGGAGAAAACACTAACCACATTTGAGAGAAACCTTATGCCGTAAGGCGTGCATCATATCACACTATTTCATTCACCTCATTACGATTCCTTTCTCACTTGTAACACAACAGGGTTACCTTGGGCAGTGTACGAATGATAGGTCCAAACACACTTTGGTAAGGAATATAACCTGGATTATAATTTCGATTGTCCAGTTAGTTCTATATTGTCACTAATCAACGGAACACGGTTCGATATCGTCGCTTTCATTTATATCGGTAGCTACCATATAAGTGAAAACATCATCGACGATAATCTCATTCCAATTCCATTATCTCATCCAAACTGGTATACTGGACCAAGAACTTTAAGTCTCGGGAGTAGTCTGGATTAATTTCATAAGATGGAAATGATTTGAGACATCGATCAAGTATGTATTCATTTTATGATGTGACCTTCCTCTTCTAGGAAAGTGAATCCAATGAACTGAGTGACCTGTCGTGCTTCATACTGAGACAAATTGATTGGCTATCCGCCAGTGTACCGGATCGTCTAACAGGGGTGGCACACCCTTCAGGGATGTTGACTCGACATCCTTTAAGTACGTCTATCCTTGCAGGCATGTTTGCAGCTGGTATATGATCTTGTCATTTTGGCTAGATCAAAGGAATGCATATGGAGCAACATTCTAAAAGCCAGAATTCATTGCACTTGCTTATCACACTTGTGCAATACAGGGATCGAGATAAGACATAGTGGGCAACGTCCACGCAAATTATCGTTGTTCTACATAAACGTTGATGTTCTTATCTCCCCTTAACAGCGGAAATACTATCTCATTGAAGTGACAATCCGTAAATGAACGGTAAAGATATCGCATGTAAGGGCTCTAAGAGAGCTAGTGTGAAAGAGAATTGTAAGCGATAAAAATTCATATCCTTCTTTGAGGACCCATACTGGTATGTTGCAGCAGTGCAACTTGGCACATGGAATGCACACCCAAATGCATAAGTATGACATGTCAAGTTCATACCCAGTAACCAATTATAACATCGAATAGGTTGGGTGACAGTGGGCCTTAAGGCGAACCAACGTAGCTGTGTACAAGATTGCATAGCCCTAGGTAGAAACCAAAAGCTTGGTGCATTCACCAAGGTTCAGGCGATCATTTATATTGCGCTTTATGATCACTCTGCGAGGCTATTTTAGGGTGAACATAAGAATTTGATGTTCAATTATAAACCCAAAAGATATGCAATCCTTATTGAAAACCGTCGATATAAACTCTTCGACATTATCTAGTCTTCTAGACTTTATGGGATAATTAGGGTGGTGAACCCTTTAAAATTGGCCATGAGGTTTAGTAGCAATGTGTGTGGACAAACATGTGACCAGTTTATCGATTCATCAACCAAAACCATAAATATTTATATTGTCCGCATTTTGGTTAGATTAGCCCACAAATGTTCCCTTGAATCCACTATGAAAAGAAGGTTGTTTCATATCTTTGCTAGGGATGATATAGAAATCAAATTTCCCATATAAGCAGGCTTAGCAAAGTTTGCTTGTAAGGACATGATCCTTACTTCGGGTAAGAAGATGCGACATAGCATCATTGTTCGACCTAAATGTCCTCAATGGTTGTGTCAAAGCAAGTAAACAGCTCAATCACCAGGCTCTAGGCTAGCCACATTTGGCGTGTTATCAGCTAGGAAACAACCCATTAGCTCCAAATCAAAGCTTCAGTCTCATGTTTGGAGATGGTGCAAAGATATTCCACCTTATTTTCTTCAGTGATTTCATTCATGATCATTGTTCTCTTGAATATCCTTAAGACTCAATGACGTTCTTCCGGAATGAGGAGAATATAAGGTCTCTTAAATGGTGAGTTGGTACCATTCATACAACGAGGAGCGTAGTACCATCCATACAACAAGGAGCGTGCCAATGCTCTGAATCAGGTTAGATAGATCTAAAGTCGTTGCTAGAGATGTGATTTAGGCATAAAGTTCGTGTGCGTAGTATCACATTCATGCAAACAACTAACTTTCCCATATTCGTACCTAATCACGTGTTTAATTGAATTCGGTCACATGTATACAAGAAACATGATTCTATTAACTTGTATTCGAGGACAATATCAATAAGATTATCCGTAACAAAAAACAAACACCAAACTTGAATCCCAGAACATGAAAAAATGTTCACAAAGTAAATGGTTTACTGAGGGATTCAGCCAACAAGGCCACCAAAATTCTGCTCTTCCAACGATGTTCGGTGGAGCAAAA